TATTTCCGAAATTATTGACATTATCAAAAATGATTTTAATAAACCCCTATTCATTTTTAAATACCTTTTCAACAAAATATCACACGTTAGGGTTGAAATTAAAAAAAAATCTAAATTACATATAGGGAGGCTACCCTAATAAAACATTTTTTTTCGAATTTTTATTTTACCGCTTCGTCGGCGTGATTGATACACATATTGGTACCAAATTTCAGCTTTGCTAACCAATTAGCGAGGGCGGACAGACGGACAGACAGACATGGCGAAACTATAAGGGTTCCTAGTTGACTACGGAACCCTAAAAACGGCTCGACCGATTCTGATAAAATATTTTTTATGTGTTTAAATAATAGATAGTTTAGATTCACATTAGGAGCTGTTATAGAGATCCAGAAATCACCCGTGTGAGACGGATCAATAACCGTGCGTCGCACCTTTGCTGTGACTGTGAGTGACGGATGACGGTGTTAGTGTCCATGTTCCTGTTTCGTCTGTTAGTGTAAAACTTAATTATGGGAATTTCAAAAAAGATTTTAAACTTGGCAGTTTACCATCTCTCTTATTTATATATTTCCTACTCATTATCTTATCATCCTACCTAATCATTATTTTACACCAAACGTAAATCGGATCGGATCGGATCGGAGACAGGCAGCAGTCAGATACCGCGATCACCGATCCGCTTGCTAACTTGCTGCTCGTGGTGATTTTAGTGAATATCCGCAAATACAACGGGTTATGCCCATGTTCAGCTATTTAGTTAGTTATACGGAATGAAGAAATAGAAGACATTAATATCTTTTTTATTGCTATATTTTTTATAGGATAGGGTGACAAACGAGCACACAGTCCAACTGATGGTAAGTGGTTGCTGTGGCCCATAGACATCTACATCTATCCTCGATTACGAAACAAAATGCAGATGCGTGGAATGCCTCGTTTCCAGTAAAAAGGGTCTCCGGTTCTCTACACTCACCATACGAAACACAGCCACATTAAGCTACTATTTGACGTTGGTATTCTGTGAGAGCGTGGTCCTTCCCCGGTCGAGCCGACCCATTCGTGCTACAACTATACTACTAATATAACTGCAGCATGGCTCTACCACGTGTAAAGCTAATCCGAAAAATCTAATTAATGTATCAAGAAATCAAGTTGTATAGGATTTTGGTATTAAAGATTAAATACATTTTATAATAGTTTTGAGGTGTAAAACTCAGGCATGTTACGAGGGCGGCACTGAAAATTTCGGGAATCAAGGAAGTGACACAACATTACTATTTAAAAATGTATTTATTGCTTTTCGAAGTATTCTCCGCGAAATTTGACACATTTTTCCATACGATGGAACCAATCATTATGGAGGGGATGGAAGCAACCATTCCATTCGGAAGTTGGGGTCTCCAAAATGGCCGTTTTGTAGGCGTCCACAGCTTCTTCAGGTGATGAAAATCTCTGTCCACGCAATTTATTCTTTATTTTAGGGAAAGTATAGAAATCATTAGGGCTTAGGTCGGGGCTGTACGGCGGATGATCTAATAATTGTTTTCTTGCTCTAAAAACTCTTTTGTTCTGTGTGCGGCGGTTGCAGTTCTCTTTACGGAGTTCAGAAACGACCTGTGGCAAACAAATGCTAGCATACCATTCTGCATTAACCGTTCTTTGCCCCTCAAGAGGAATAGTCGTAACATGGCCGGTTTTGGAGACAAACGTGGCCACCATTTTTTTTTGCAACACCGTGAACGAACAATTTTTGTTGGCTTTAACTCATTTTCGAACACCCAAACTCGTGACAAATTTTTTGTTTCGGGTTCGTACGCATATATCCAGGATTTGTCACCTGATACGATGTTGTATACAGCATTTGAGGATCCTGCGTGGAATCGAGAGAAGAGGCTTTTTGAGGGGAAGATAGTATGTCAAGTTTTATTTTACTGTGATCTTTGAGATTTTTTAAGGGCGTTAATGAAACAGTTGGTTTTGGGGGCTTACCAAATGCAGAAACTGAAAAAGTCATAATAAATCATCGCTCTTGAATTTTCTTGAGTCAATTCCATTTTTCAACGACTAAAAAAGTTTGACAAAACCTTGTGACAACACCGAGAATCTTTTTTTTAAATAAATAAATGGTATTCGATTTTTAAAACCAAGGAGTTTTCAATTAAAAAGATTTTAATATGACAGGAACAGTGGAAATATTCCATTCCCGATACTTTTAGTGCAGCCTAGGTATAGAACAGATCTGATTAATCCAGGTGATCAAACTACACCTAATTTTTTTAATAATAAACTGTGTGTAAATAAAAGATAATGGTGATCTGGCGTTACATTATTACATTAAATTTGAATATAAGTATATCAATGTTCCATTATTTAAAAAATCTGATTTTATTGTTGATACAAACTTATCTAATGAGGAAAAGTAAATGCGAAAGTAATAAAATAATCGAACCAATTCATAAATAAGAAAGTAACCCAATGGATAAAACATATGACTTAACTGAAAATATTTTAACAATGAATTTTGAAAAAATGTGCTCAATTCCATCACAGCCTATCGAAAGGCTACTGCTGAACATGGAATTTCCCCATGTATTGCAGAGGGGGGATTTTGCCATAGTTGCCACGCTTGGCAAGCGGGTTTGCAACAATAGTGTTTTATTATTTTGTGTTTTATTCAGGAGGACTGCTTCCCATCTCCTATTTCAGGTTCCCTCTGACGACAGAGTATTAAGTAAACACAACCCAAGGTATTAAGTAAGGTAGTAGATATTTTATATTGTTATACCGCCACTACACGCCTAGGCCTCTCCCATAGATTAATTTAATATATATTTAATAGGTATAGCCATAGGTACTATAATTTATTAACTAACGACGTAGCTACATATATTTTTTTAGTAATTTGCATACGTGCTTAATGTTGCTTTTGAAATGCAAAAATTAATAAAACGTTGGTTACTAAACAATAACATTGCAAATGCACCTTCACGTCACGTTTATAGAATGCGGGAAAAAGTTTTAATACTTAGATTTTTTTAAATACAATAAGAACATGGCTTATTTTAAACTTTGTTGTCAAATTGTCACATAGTTGTCAAGTGTAAAAAAGTTGCTTAGGCGTTATTAGATAGTAAACTAAATTGAAGTATAATATAAATGTTGGACATTGCAAAAGTTACATTTAGAATGTTAATTTTTGCGACACTTGAGACAAAGTTATGAGCTTAAAAATCAACAAGCGACAATGTCATCACGACAATTTACTTCGTAAACTTTTTGGCATCGCAATTCGAATTTTCGATGGTAGGAGTGGAATTTTTGCATGATTTGTGCAACATGTATTACGAATAATTTGTAATAGAGTAACAGGATATTTAAAATGTTATAATATGATAGACACTATTTTACAACGCCGAGAGCCTTTGAGAATATTGTAATGAAACTTATAATGGTTGTTCAATAGAGGAAAATTAGAAACCACATAAGCTACGCCCAGGGCCTCTCACATTACCGCTTCGCCTTGAACCCGCGACCGCGAAGCCTGAATAACAATTACCGTATACAACACATTGCTTATTCCATCTATTTTTCTACCTTCAATATCTATACTTATGTATTTTGTATTGTATTCATAACGTGCGTCACTCTTGAACTACGTCAGATTAAATAATTTTTTAAGATAATTTACAATCAAATGAATTGAACGTTTGAATAACTAGAGGATCAAGTTACGTTTTTAATTCTTGTTAATTAATGGTAATAAAATGTGATTATTAATATTGAAAATACCTGAGGGTAAACATATTAACGTACTTCATGTGCCAAACTCACCTATGCAAAACATGCTAAATCCAAATTGTAAACCTACCAATCTAGATAAACTTTCTGAGAGTTATAGTTTTGCGTGCTTCGCCAAAAATATTTGAACCAGTGTTCTGCAATCAACCAATAAATTACCAGTATTATTTGTGGAAACGTTTACACCATAATCTAAAATCCAACAACAATCCCGTCATTGTGTATAAAACCTATTTTATTGTTCATTATTGATCTAAAATCGGATCGGAGCCAAAATTCGCATGTAAATCGAATGAGCATTGTTGAAGAAAATGTATTACCGAGGTGACTTTAATTCCATATTGTTTCATCAAATTGTTTGCATGAATACAGATTTCAGAAGAAAATATAAAAACACGTTTCTGAGCGTCGTGCTCCACGTATCACTATAAACAGTATCAGCTGACGGACGCGTCACATTGACGTTTCGTCACCAACATGGCGGACAATATGGCCGACCGCGCTTGTGTTTATTTACAACGCTTGCATTAGTCACAGTTAAACAAACGAACACGTGCAAAATATAGCCTATGAATAGCGATGGTTGTATTAAAATGTATTTTAAATATTGAAATTGTACGTATTATGTATTTTTTGACAAATCACAGCAAGGGTACTAACTCAGGTAGCCAAGAAAAAACTCATCCTTTTTTCCAGATATAGGCGTTACCTTTTGTGCTTTGTATCTTCGCTTTATAGATCATTTTGGTGCATCGCGAAGACCCAGTGATTATTATTTGATGTCTCTTTTAATAAAGCCGTGTCGTCTCTTTACTACGTACTTAACTGCTCGTATATTAATTATGCTCTATTTAAAAAAAATCTTTTATAGATAATATATTTAAAAAAACATGTGTCATACGCGGTACAGTCCGTTTCACAAAAGAAATCCCATAGCCGCGGCGCCACAGTCTGCAAAGTGACATATGGTGTCAATTTACATACACCTACATTAGATTTTAGTTCGCACATTTTCCGCGAGAGTTCTTATGTAAAACGGACTGTAGAAGTGAAACCTCCAGAAAAATAAACTAGAAGAGAAGCTTTGTGGCGTCTCGTATATTAAATAAAAATCTTCAATATATGAGACGCCATAAACAATACAAAAATATGTACTATTATTGATCGAAGAAAAGTATTCATTTTCTATAGAGACTGCTTTATTTTAATATCTTTTTCTTTACTTTTTCTACTTTCTCGTCTTTATTTATTTTTCTATCTCCTTTTGCCTTGCTTTCCTTAATCTTTCCCTTTACCCTTTGCTTAATCTTTTTGCCTCCTTTGTACTGGTTATTGACTGACATGTTCCTCTTTTTCATTTCTTTTATATGACGTTTTTCTTCTAAAGCTTTCTTTTCTGGAGTATCGGCAAGAATGTCAGATTTTTGAGCCTGTTTACGATTACATTGAGCTCGTGGTGGAGGTCTTATAGTTTCCAAGAAATCACTAGAACTTTTAAGCTGATGTCTAGGTTTTTTGTAACGAATTTCCGCTGGTGCACGCGCTTTCCTTTTTTGTTCTTCACTAAATTGAAAAATGAAAGGTGGCAGAGTTCAAATTCTTTTACTACATTTCAGTAATGTCTGTTTTTCTCCATCACATCTAGCACAGTCAACTAGTAGACCCGTAGATTTGGTTCCCTCGTTAAAATACGTTCTCATGCTGTAGTAAAAAAAAAAAAATTATACTTAAATACACAATATACAAGGTAACAGTCAGTTACCTTCTTAATACTAGCCCTTACATCCGTGGCAGTTAATACACGTTAATACTAACACCGCCTATTTGTTAATTATAACCACAAAGACACATTTTTTGTTTTAAATAACGTAACGAAATATTGGTTAACAATTTAGTCAAATAAACAATAAAGCGTTATTTAGTATAAAATGCGCTTTAAAGGAACCAAAAAAACATAATCATAACAACGTTCATTTTAAGCATAAATCAAGAAATTGTAAAGTTAAAAATATTTTTTTACTTGCGTAAAAAAGTAGTCTGGTGCACAACTCTTTCGCACGATGCGCGGAACACATTTGACCAATCCCGAGTTCCCGAGTTATGCGGCGTGATGATCTTACCGGCGTTCTAATTCTAAAAACGCGCTGTCTTGCGCTGTTGGTTGAATACTCAAAGCGCGCTGTAAGTTTAGTATATTAAATTATATACAATTTTAGTTTTACTTACCTCTGTTAATTATTGTAACCCCGGTTACGGTAAGTGTAATTAATTGAAAATAATTATAAACTATCCATTATTATTAATGATTACCAAGATTGAAGATAAAAGTAGGCATGCATTTGATACTGATGCTGATATATCGGCGGTACTCGAAGATTACCGATATATCGGCATCGACGATATTTTTATGGCCGATTCAACGATATTTTTCAAATTCGCGCTTCAAAAATGTAATGTAAACGCGTTTGTTGCCTTGTCTAAATCGTTGCAAACGAAACTGTCTATAGTTTTAAACGGTTTTATTTAGTTTGTCCTGTTATTTGTTATTTTTATATTAATAGAATAGCCTGACAGCCTGACTTGTGTTTTATTTATTTTACCTTCATTTTTGAATTCAATAAGCGTATCGGTATCGGTATTGCCGATATTTTTATAAGAGCATCGGTAACAGTATCGTATCGGCAAAAAGGCGAATCGAGGCATTCATAGATAAAAGTAATGAATTATTTACGTTTACCGGTTATAATTAATAATTACACCTTACTGTTGGTAAATGTAATAAATTTTCAAAAATAACGTACGACAAGCGTCTGTTTCGAACAATAGAAACTCAGCCACGGACTGTACATTACAACTCACTAACATTTTACACCAGTTTTTAAGGTAGGTTATGTTATATTTGTAGATGCTAAAAAATAACTACCATTCTGAGTTGTATTTACAGTAGCTTACATTTACATACCAATAAATACCAAAAAAAATATTTAACAAAGAAAGGTCGTTTCCTGATTGTTTTATTACTTTTAGCGAATACATTAGTGAATTAATTAATAACAACCAGTAAAAATTATGAATTTCACAGGTTTCATTACATTTACCAATTCATAAGGTAACTATGAATAATGACCGGTTATTATTAATACTAAACCAAACTAATTACCTTTACCGTAACATATATAATACAATTATTGGATATTCACCCTAGTTTCTGATTATCACCGGAAATCGATTTATAATGCAACCAATACTCGTTTGTTATTTTGTGGAACAAAATAATATAGGGGTTGTCCTTAAAGTATTGAGGGTGCGAATGAAATAAATATCTCACAATTTATATAATATCATGGTATTCGTTGAACATAACATTTATTTAAAACTTGATTTGATTTTACAATCGTCAGGTAAAGTTTTCCGTCAAATAAATTGTAACCCGACTGAATACAAAAGTGAAACAATTGAACGATTTTGTTCATACAACTGTAATTTTTAATTTGTTTAAGTTGTTTTTATCTTATGAATAACTCTTAGCTCAGGTTTTTTATAGCATTGCGTGACAAACGAGCACACAGACCACCTGATGGTAAGTGGATGCTTTGGGGATGTCTATCAAAAAAAAGTGAATTCTCGATACCCTTCTATTGTTTTCTTCGTTGGGTATATGCTCAACCTTCGCAGCCTATAATACTCCTGCAATCACAATATAAAATGACCGGTTCCTTAGGTGGAAAGTGCAAATATGTCAGTAGATTTCAAGTGGGTTTGTCGCGCCCACTACCAGTTACCACTAGATCTTCGAGGTCTATAGATTAATTCGATTCTATATGTATTGTTGTATTCCTTGTGCTTTTCCCGGAGTTAGTAAAAATAATTATTATTTCAAGGATCAAGGATGGAACTTATCTAGACAGGAGATAGAAAATTACGTCCAAATCGTTGGAGCTGTTTCTGAGAAACGAATAATATTACATATCATATTATATTATATTACATATTATATTTTTTACGTAGTAGAGCAATGCTGCAGTTATATTAGTAGTATAGTTGTAGCACGAATGGGTCGGCTCGACCAGGGAAGGACCACGCTATTACAGAATACCAGCGTCAAATAGTAGCTTAATGCTGCTGTGTTTCGTATGGTGAGTGAGAGAGGAGACCATTTTTACTGGAAACGAGGCATTTCATCTAAGTCCTCACGGATGACAACGCATCTGCATATTGATTCGTAATCGAGGATAGATGTAGATGTCTATGGGCCGCAGCAACCACTTACCATCAGGTGAACTGTGTGCTCCTTTGTCATCCAATCCTATTAAAAAAAAAAAACAAGAATTGCTCACTTAAAGATTACTTATAATTAATGTATCTATTACTAAAATTATAAAATAGAACCCATTAAAAACAAATGAAAACTGGGGTTATTATTAGTAAAATAATTTTAGTTGTTTTTTTTTTAATGAAACAACCGGTTTACTTGAAAAGGAAATAAGATCTACTAAGAAAATCCTACAAGAAGCTCCCGTGCCAATGTACTTGATTAATAAAAATATAGTATGATTCGCCGTGTAGCTAAGCTACCATAGCTTCAAAGAACTCCTTACCCTAAGTAATCCTGTGGGTGGCGTAAAAGGCTGTAATAAATGCATGAAAATATTGAAATTGTAACTAAATTAAAATCGAGTAATAAATAGAACAACATTTCTTATTGCTATTACGATTTTTGAGCATAATCAACAGTTATATTGCTTACATGTACACCTTTTCTAATTCTCTAGCGATATCAAACCGCACATGACCTTACGGCTTAGGGTTTCCGCAGCTTTTATATTTACGCAGCTTTTATATTTACGCGTAGGTACACCCATTTACACTTTATTGACAGCAGAATATATTTCACAAAGCATACTAATTTAAATTAGTACTAGTCAACAAAAAAAGTACTTTGTTTGTGATAGAGCCATGCAGCAGTATATTTGAACGATAGGCTCGACCGGGAAGTACCACGCTCTTATAGCATACCAGCGTAAAATAACAGCTGCTGTGTTTCGTGTGGTGAGTGTAGAGAACCGGAGACCCTTTTTACTGGAAATGAGGCATTCCATCTCAGTCCTCAGGGGTGACAACGCATCTGCATTTTGATTCTTGATTGAAGATAAAAATGGAGATGTCTAAGTCTATGGGCCACAGTATCCACATACCCACTATCATGCGGACAGTGTGCTCGTTTGTCACCCATATTCTATAAAAAAAAAACTTATTTTAGTTTTAATTTACAAGTTAAAAACTATATAGGTTTTTAATTTAGTTAGTTTTGGTCCAAAGTGATTTTGATAGAAATCCTCGCGCCAAGAAACGAACTGTTATGAATGAGGGAGAGCACGATGGACGTGGCGACGCTATTTTTATCATCTCTAGATCAACTTCTATAGATGGCCTTTTTATATTATACAGTGAATATAAACTTTTAACTTAAAAGCTTGAAAATCATTTATTATATTATTAATTTTCGCCAATCTTGAACTGAATTTCTTTTAGATTTTTTAAGCCTTCGTTTTCGTCTTCAGCGTCGGCCGAAGGTTGTAATTGGCTTCTTTTTAATTAATATACTTTTATTTTGAAAGGTTTGACTACGAATTTATATTTCGAATGTTTTTAGCGATGAATTAAGTAGAAAAAATTATGTATTATTGTAAATATATGTTTATGTTTTTATTTACTTTTCCAATTTTATTTAATATTAATGACTAAAATAAAATAAATTACTGCGCATATCCGGCTCGATACATATTAACTGATATGATATGCATGCTTAGATATTGAGTAACGCGGTATAGGTAATTTCCACATCTTACCACTTCTACCTCTCAGTTATATGTGTATTATCTGTGCTTCTACCAGTAAATCTTTACCCACACAAACGTTATGTAACGCTTGTTGTTCACATAAACGTTTTCATTACAGTCAAGTAACCAAGAAAATCTATTATTTAACAAAACGCACACATACGCGTGTAACTGCTTGCTATTGTGCATCAGATTGCGATGATGTGAGTGTGTGCGTCAGCGAATGCAGCTTGCGCATTGCACATGCGCGATGGGGGAAGGTGGGGGAGGGGCAGGGCCAGGGTCGAGCAGGCCTTGAACGCGCCTAGCAACAGCTCTGCCAACTTCAACATATTTATTTCTGTTTTAGTCGTCTACACGTTTGCTTGCAATTTAAAAGGGAACGTTATAATGAAACAAAATGGGCTTTTGAAGTTTTTTGCGAGCAGTCAGATGTTTCCTTTCAGTTGAAGATGAGACTAGCTATTGTTCTATCGCGTTTGATACTTCACGATTCCACGGTCTCGCTGTACGTAATAATAACTTTACCTTTTATGAAAATATTAAATCTTAAGCCAATACATGTAATTGCATACACGCGTAATTATTGTTGTCAAAAGTACTTTCAGCTATTTTATGCGAGAAGTACACACAAAAGTTTCATTTCTTCATTACGTCGTAAATTTACAATATTAGTGTTGCCGACACCGTACCGTTCGATCGTGGTTCTTACATGGTTGCCATCTAAACCTTATAGAAATGTATTCCTTTTTTTTTAAATTCGAAACGCGGAGACTCATTATCTAACATTCTCTGTCTACGTCTGTTACCATTTAACTCATACCTAAAACACGCGCATTAGAAGCTATACTTCTTTCATTAATTTTACAGCTAACCATAAATACACTCCTTAACATTGGTTCCCACATAGAATACCGCGGGTTGGCGACCACAGTCTTTGTTATTTTGAGTGGAAAACAGGAAAATGGCGCCGCGCGTCTCTGGTTTTATTTTCCTCTGTACTTACGACACCTACGAAGTGATGGTGAAGTATAGCCGTTTTTTTATAGGATAAGAGTTACTAACGAGCACACAGTCCACCTGACGATAAGTGGATGCTGTAGCCCATACAATAATTATACATATTAAATGTAGATGACATTTAAACTCAAAATGCAGATGCGTTTTCATCCTTGAGGATTAAAGAGGAAAGCCTCTATTCCAGTAAAACAGGTCTTCGGTTCTCTACACTCACCATACGAAACAGAGCTGCATTAAGCTGCTATTTTATGCTGGTATTCTGTGAGTACGCGGTCCTTCCCCGGTCGAGTCGAGCCATTCATGCTACAACCATAATATGGCTGCAACGTGGCTCTACCACGTATAAACGCAAAATGAAAATTTTTACACGATAAAGCTTAGTTATTATTAATTTAACTTCTTATTCATTTGCGATTAACCCCATTTTATTAAATTCCATCCATCGATTCCATTTTTTCATCCGCAACGCTTTAATAAAATTACAAAGAAAAAGTGTCTGCCTTCGCACGTATTGATGGTGATGAAATATCGTGAGGTGAAAAAATTAAGACATATGAATACATTTACTAACACGGTTTGGGGTGATGCAGCGGATATGATCCTTCTGACAAATTTCGAGACAGCGATCACAATCAAATATTTTTGGAACCTGTCAACTGCAGACGAAATATTATAATTGCACAAGTGTACACTCTATAAGAACGCATACCTGTCGTAATCTACTAGATAAGAGATAGAACGTTGCGTAATTGTCTCGAAGACACGAGGAAAATCGCAACATATTATTTAAACTTGAAATCGTTTTTTGTTCTTTTCGGCAAGGATTCAAACCATCAAGCAATATAGTAACCACAGATCATATAATTCATGTCTAAATGGTAAGACATTAGAGTCCGTCTTGGTACCGCCCTCTTGACTATTACTACCATCAATCAGTAGTGCATCCATCACAGTATCCCGGCCTGAAGGGCATCTAGATTATCTACCATTGATATGTAGCCAGTA